TCTTTCCTGTTTTGTATCTTTGTGTGTGTGTGTGTGTGTGTGTGTGTTTTAATGGAGGTACTGAGGATTGAACCCAAGACCTTGTGCATGTTAAGCATGTGCTCTACAACTGAGCTATACCCACCCACCTTTTAGAGCTGTTTTTCTGTTTGTGTGTGTGTGTGTATTGTTTTTTTTTTTTTTTTTAATTTTAGGGGGGAGAGGTAGTAAGGTTTATTTGTTTATTTATTTTTTAAATGGAGGTACTGGGGATTGAACCCAGGACCTCGTGTATGCTAAGCACACACTCTACCACTGAGCTACATCCTTCCCTCTACTCTTTTCTGACCCCCCCCACCTTGTTCAGGATTCACACTTCAGTGCTGGGAAGATCAGTGACAGGGTGAGGATGTCTGGTTTGCACATTACTCGAATATTTAATGGTTTATGTATAAACCATAACTAAATGACCCTGAATAAAAAGAGCTCCCTCAAAGCCCCCGTATCAAAATGCCACATTATTTTTATTTTTATTTTTTTTACATTTTTTATTGATTCATAATCATTTTACAGTGTTGTGTCAAATTCCAGTGTTCCACATTATTTTTAATGTGTAGATTTCCAGAAAATTAGTATGTGAGTTACATTTTTAAAAAGAAAAAGAAATTATATTAATAAAACAATGGATTTTGAGCTCTCAGGAGAAATGTAAGAAAGGAAGTATGGAATCAGGATCAATTCTGTTAGGATTTAAAATCTGTGAGGGCAGGCTCTGTATCTCATTTGTCCTTTGCCCTGTGTTTAGCAAACATTTAGCTAATATTTGCTGAACTGAAAGAGGCCAGTAAGATAAAGTAAATCATTCAGGTAAGTATGGAACTAAATTTAAAAATCACTATTTTATTCTTACTCAATATTAAATCTAAGGCTGGAGCTCTGGGTGTTGTACTTAAACAAACAAGCTAAAAAAGACAAATGAAGCTGGAAGAAAGGTTTGGGGCTGCAAAAAAATCTTGTTGACAAGTAGCATGACCAGAAAACAGAGTCTTCAGCTTACAAAATGGAAACAGTTGAAATAAACAAATAGATAAATAGTTTTATGATGCATGTGAATAGGACTTACATTCACCAAATACTGGTGTACAGGAACTAAGGGAGATAGTCTCAAAGTCTTAGAAAGTTAATCTGAGGCCAAATGAAAGGAATTCTTTCTTTAGCAGATAGCTTCACGGGTGTCCAGACTACGCACTGGCCCAGGGTCCCGTGCTTAGAAGGGCCTGTGCTTAGTTCAATGCTCTGCTGCCAAGGTCTTGAGATTCTTAATCATTTATGAACAAGGCACCCCAAATTTTCATTTTGTACTGGGACCTGTGATTATGTATGTGGTCTTGCAGTAACATGAAAAAATTATTCATCCTAAGAATTGTTGAGGTTAACAGTATCAACGGGGTAAAATGAGTTTGGACAAATTAATGAATTAATGTAGAATTCTTTAATGAGAGTCTGCTTTTGAAAAGCTAAAGATATTTTGGGTTTTCTCAAACCTTTCAGGATGATGTAATGAGGGCAGCTACCAACAGAGGGCCTAACAGAGAATGAAATTGCCTTTCTCATTATTGTCTATCTGAAATCCAGAGACATGGAACTGCTATAAATTTGAGTAAACAATGAATTGCCGTAGAAATACTGGACAATTATTTTTCAAAGCAGGAAAAATTTAAAACAATGATTAATAAACAGAATTTTGGGTGAAATGTGACACTTCTCTCCCTTTTTCTCAGCATTTAAAATAAGTAAGTTTATTGGATTGCTCTGTATGACCCAGTTTTGTCTCTCTCCAGTTTTCCTGGCAGCTTCCTTGTTCTAATCACTTGAACAATCTTACCCCTTTCCCAGTTAGACAGAAATCAGAATTTACGACTAGAAAACATTTCAGAGCACGAAGAAGATCCCCAAGAACTAAACCTGACTGTGGAGGGCTGCCCCAGGACAGTCATTTCAACCCTGCGCATCTTAGAAAAGCTACTTAGAATCTGGAATTCTTGAAATTTACTCTTGGAAAATTAAAGAGTACATTAAAAAGTAACCAGATATGCTTGCTAAATGTATCATACAGGCCCCATGTAATGAATCTGATGGGAAAACAAACTTTCTCTCAAAAAGGCCACTGGATTTCAAAGTTACAATAATCTTACACCAAAATTTACCAACAAAAACCTTGGGGTAAATGCAACAGGGCTCTCCAGTTAAAATCAGGGGACTTAATGTAACAGTAGCCTCCTCATACACATTATTATTTAGAAAAGCAGACTATTTCTAAAAATGTCAAGGCTGCCTTTTCCAAGTGAAGATAAATGCCCCTGGAGAAGAGTCTGTGGGAAAATACCTGACTTTTCTGTTTAGAACATTCAGTTCTATTTTCTAATTAGCTTAAGGCAGAAGTCCTCAAAGTATGGTCCTTGAGCCACCATCATCACCTGAGACTTGCTGAAAATGCAAATTCTCAGGTCTCAGTCTAACACCTCCTAAAACATGAACTCTGGGGGTGAGGGGGTCCAGTAGTTTGTAGTTTAACAAGAACCCCAGTGATTCTGATAATCACTGAAGTCTGAGACTACTGTCTTAGGCAGGTAAATACAAGGCTGTTTAGCACCTAAAAATGAGGATCTTTTGTGATTTCAATTTCCAAACAAGCAGTCAGATACAAGAACACCAAAGTTCAGAGACTGGCTTGGAGGACCATAAACACTGAGAAAGATTCACTCAGAAGATGACAAAAATAGAAAAAAACAACACAATAAGTATTTGAAGACATGTATTATAAAATAAGAAACATTTAAAACCTTTATAGTAAGACAACATGCTTTTCATTTGTTGCCAGTACTTTAAATAGAAATGTCTTGAATATTAATATATAAACATTAATATATCCACTAATAGAGGCCAATTGGTGATGATTTTTATCTTTCATAACTGTTTCTATCGCTGAAGAGTGCCATCTTGTTTTTAACACAGAAATAATGTATTGCTTTAAAATCAGGATTTGAAAACACATTACGATAAAGAAATCGATTAGAAACAACAAAACATGCATTAGGTAACCAGCAACTGCGCTGAAAAAGATACACCACTCACATATTCCATTATGTAAATGAATTCAAAGATATTTCATGACTGATCAGCTAGAAGGGACATAATGATTTATAATTCAAATAACTGAGCACTGAAATCAAATTGAGTTAATATATATTTCTAAATATGCAAACCTGAAATAATTGTTAAAAAATATAAATCAATGTACCCATGTTGAAATCATTCCTATCCTTTGGTATGAAATGCTATAGCTTTTAAACTTTTATCTAATAAGCTTTCTGAAAATATGGTTTTTTTATTAACTTCAAGAAGAAGTACTCAAAAGCAATAAGTAACTTGCAAAATAAAAGGTTATAATCTTAGGATTAAAGATATAAAAGATAAAAGGTGATAGGAAAGCATCTTAAGTAGCAGATACAAATAAATTAGGCATTATGCAAATTATACAAAAAAGAATACAAATCAAATTAATTGTATATCAGATTTCAATTTCAACCAAAAAAATAGGGTAAATCTAAACAATAGATATGTGCTATAAAATAACACAGGCTTCTTTCTAGATAATATGCTCTCGAAGTAATTCATTGTGAAAAGGCCAGAGTTTGCAATACTAGGAAGTACTTATAAACCACTTCATATGTTAGAAATAGAGTATTTCAGCATTATTATTAAAAAAATACAGGTTGAGTTTTTTTTTTTAATAAGAAAAAATACGTATCTTAAAAAGCCAAAATGACCACTGGAATTGGGTTGTACATCACTTTCCAGTAAAAGGAAAAACAGCCTGGACAGGTGTAATTTATCATTTTTCTGATTTAATATCAAAGAAATATATTAAAATAATAAAAAGAATCCTGAAATCCTCAAAATTTGTAGTGATAAATAGCCCTCCCTGTCTTTATTGCATTATACCTACTAACAGAAATATTGCATGGTGGATTTTGCCAGACAAGGACGATTATTTTCCAATAAAAAGTTGCATATTAAATTCCAGCACAAAAGTGGGTGTCTAATACTTTGGAAATCTTTTATGGCTTGCCAAAGAACGCAATTTTAAACTTAACTAATACAAACATATTCCTGGAGTGAACCTACATTAAAGATTTCCATCCAATGCCACCCAATTTCAGAATGTTGTCCTCATATTAAAACATCAGCTAATCTTAGCAGTTAACTAAACGAACACTGATTTTTCACAACTCCTATGTATTTGATAGATAACATATAAAAGATAATCTATATGCTTCTTTCTCATTGATCAAAATATAATAGTATCAATGATAATCTAATAAGAAAGGATGATTTTGGCTTTAGATTTTAAAAATCTGCTAAGTAGATACCTAAATATTTAATGCGTACTGGGAAATCTTATTTTAGAGTAAATAATATTTTGATTTGGTGGGGGAAATCAAAGTGGTCAGAAGGCTTATAATTTCCTTTCTGTTACTCTTTTGTGCCTCTTTACTAAGGAAAATAATATTCTTTTCAATTGAAGAACACTGAAGAAATACTGGCTCTAAGGAATTCAGTTTTTATAAAATAATATTCTTAAAACATTTTTACCTTCTTAAAACTAGTTACATGCTTTCTTTTGAAACAAGAACATCCTGACAGTTATGAAAAATCATGGACTAAAACATGTAGTTGCATACTTTCTCATCCATTTACAAACCTGGGTGAGTATAAACATAACTTGAGTTAGAAATCTATATGTCTATATAAATTCAATTGTGACACTGAATAAAATGCTTCATATTATGTAGCTAACATAAATCTTTCAAAAATATGTACTTATAGATAAGGCTAAATGAAAGGCTTTTTATTAAAAAAAACTCTTGAAAAATTGTAAATAAGGAAATTACCTGGCTAATAGAATGTACCTGTTAGGTTGTTTATGTACATTATCAGATATATAGTAAAAAGGATATCCAACAGATAGGTCATTTAGGAACTGAAGCGTCCTTGAAATTACAGGCTCACATCTTCCCCAGTATTTAAGGTTTGTAACACTAAACATAAAAAAAAAAATTTAATTATGATTAAAGTATTTGCTTGCAAAGGGAGAACAATGGAAGTACACATACATTCATGTAAGTTAGATGACCTAAATCACAAATATCTCACAAAGTGAAAAGTGGGTTTAAATTCCAATGGAACATTTTCTAGTCTATTCTTTTTAGACTGTATACAAAATTGTACACAATCAATGCACAATGAACATTGCTCTCCAAATGGTGTATTATTCTATAAATTTAGTTTTATAAATTAAAAAAGTTGCTAACTGTTTCACAAAGAAACATCAAGTTTGTATCCAAAACAAACCTATTAGGGAGTGAGAGCAGGAGTTACAAAGGAAGTCAAATAGAGGCTTATAGTTACTGCCAAGAAACCAACCATCAAACTTGTGGCTCCAAAACTCACCTCTTATGATGGTTGTTTATCTAACTTTCTTATCTGTAAGCAAGACAGTGCTATCTATCTGTTATACAGATCAAGTAGGATTTCAAGTGGAGGCATATAAGTTTAGGCAAAGTGTACAAAGTTATGTCTATGGCCTGAAAGTAGTTAATTCTGCTAAGAGTATAAGGGTAATTTAAGGACAGTTTCCACGGATTATGTCTCTGATAGCCATAGGTTTCTGCTGGAATCAATGAATGCCCGGCCTGAAGGCAATCAAATCTCTCTCAATCATTCTAATTTGCAATAATATCTTGAGTTGGTCTTTAAAACTGAGCATTTTCTTTCTAATTAAAAAAAAGCTGCCCAATTGAACTGAAGAGTCAAAGTCTGTAAAATTTTCAAAACCACATTTTGATATTGCATACTGCAGTTGAATGGATACCTTGACAAATAATTCTTTTTGGATGGTGAATTCTAAATATGTGAAATTAAGTTTCAAATAAGAACAATGCTACTATTCTAAGAATTAAAGCATAATTTAAAGTCTTTTATTAAAAATTAGTATTTATGAGGAGATTTAAACACAGTATAAAGATCTACTAGATTCAGAACAACAATAAAAGAAAAATCAAAGAACCAAAGCAGGAACTCACATTTTTGTCATGAATGTTTCTAGAACATGGTTATCATCTGTTATTCCTAAGACTTCTGACATACGGGCATATACCTGCATGAAAACATTTAATTGTTAAAAACTTTGTCTTTAACATGTATTTTCAAAAGACTATTCCAACTGAACAAATGTAAAGATTCAATGCATTGTTATATCCTCCACACTGAAGTAGGAAATGAGTGGGGAGAACAAACTAAGAATTAAATTTTTAAAAATACAATTTAGAGATTTACCCTCCTCTTTTTCTTCCAGGGAGCACTTCCCTTATTTTGAAACATACACACACCCACACAAACCCACATTCACAGACTCATTTTATTCCCAGCATACCACATATTTTTTTTCTCAAAGTGGTAACAAACCACCCCTTTCTTAAAGATGAGCATCTGTAGGTAAAGTGAGTGCCTCAATAAAAGACTCCAACGTTAAAAAAATTTCCATTGGTTCCAGATTTTAGCAAATCAGCAAATAATTCAGGATTCTGTTAGGTAGTTGTAAAAATAAGGATTGCAAAAATAAGAGGAAGTTAAAGAATTTATAGAAATTCTCCTCAAGTATCTCTCAATAAGCTCCCCCAAATATAGAGATAGGTCTTACTTTCCATGCTGCAACTGGAATCCCAGGATCAGGGATTCTCTGCTGAATACATCGGGGCCTGAGAATCCACTAAGCTTCCAATCAGGGAGTGTTGGCTGCGGAGTTTGGGGTGCAACATTTCTGTCCCAACCCAAGCTACACTGAGCTTATAAACACATATCCCACTTCAAGTGGGAAAATGCCAGCGGCAGCCAATGGGAATATTCCCTAAATACCCTGGCAAAGCTGAGAGGTGGCTTGACACCTTCACACTCCCTGATGCTCTGGTGTGATTCCAGGTTATATCTGCCAGACGCCAGCTGTGTGGGATTTCTCTTCTCTGATTTGACCCCCTGTGATTGTGTTCTCTCATTCTCTCCTGATCTCCTGATCTGCCTATTTTCTACGGTATGGCAACTTAGCTTTCACTCACTCAGCCTTTTGTTTTTCATATGTAAATACTACCTTGATATACTGTCATAGGTGGTGAAAATGAGCAAAAAAAAAAAAAATCACAGAACAACCACAAATCATCCAGAATTACATGGTAATACAGAGGAGGAAAGCTGTTTGCAGCAGAGATCTCATACTTGGATTTTAAACACAACCAGAAGCTTGTGTTCCAGGGTTTTGACTTAAGTCCTATGACCAGAAGCTCCTCAGGCCAGCAGAGTGAATCAGAGGGAGAGAGAGGGGGAAAGGAGGGGGCAAATGAAAGAAGAGGTAGAAGAGTAGACAGGAGAAGCTGGATGAGAGAGAAAGAAAGGGAAATTGAGATTCAAATTCCTATTGCCTCTTCTGTTAACTTCCGAGTCCCACAGAAGAGCATTTCAATTACTGCATCTGTGTCTCTGTTCACAAGAGTAGGCCTTCATCTCTTATAAGACTAAAGCTATCACTGTAACATATTTGCAGGGAAGAGGGAGCCAGGAAGAAAGAACCCAGGGACGTTAGTTACCACCAACCCTCAATGATCAGAAAACTTTAAGCACATAGATGGCTCAAAGGAAGAATGTTTGTAAAACATGATCTTATCTCAACATGATCCAAAACCTCTCTCATGAATGAGAGCGAACTTAGTCCCATGGAAAATCTGATACTGATATGATTAATAGCACACAAGGCCCTTCACAACTTGGCCCCAACCTACCTCATCTTCTACTGTTTCCCTCAACCTGAAGCCATAATGAAATGTTCATGAAATACTGAGGCTTCTCATGCAGTTACAGATCTCTATGAGTTTACACACTGTTCATTTTTCCTGAATTGGCTTTCCTCCTTCTCTTCCTCTGATTCTCATTCAAAACAAGGCATCTCTGAAGCCTTCCTTGCCTTTCCAGGCTGTGTGAGTCGCCCTCTCCTTTATGCTCCTACAGTATCTGGTCCATTCCTCTAGCACGATGCTTTTCACACTGTAATTGTTTGGGTGTTCATCTCACTCACCACTCTGTACTTTTGTAAAACAAAATTTTACATTTTCAAGACTCTGCAAATGCTGTTTTTTTTTAATGGCAAAGACCAGAATTAACCTGATTTTGATTTTGCCCATGCCACCTTGAATAATAAAAATATAAAATGTGATTTTAAGTGTTTAAGACATTTTAACATTTTAAATACATTTTTTTACTGACAGTTCTTACAAGGAAGTTTTCTGCTGTGTCCCTGGCATTTATGAAAGGAGGAAGCTAAGCAGGCAGGTCTGTTGTGCTCTGCTGTCAAAACAGTTTCTCAAAGCATCAGATTTGACCCAATAAGGTACTAGAAAAAACAGTCAACATTGACACATGGCAGTGCTTTAATCCACAATTATCCTTGTAACTTGCACCATTCCTTTTATCATCCATTAGCTTTGATTCCCATTATCCCATCTAGAACTGTGTCAACGCTTTTGTCCCTAGGGATCTCTCTCCACTACCAGGATCTGACAGTCAGGCTTGAGTACTAAACAGGATCATTACCTCTTAAATCCACTTATCTGATCTACTGAATAGTAAATTGAAAAGCTCATTAAGAGCAACAATCTGATTTGTTTTCACGTGTGACAGGGTCATTTAAAATCAATGTATGATTACTGCATTTCTTTTAAAAGGCTGTCTCACGTTTTCCAAGGAGCCTTATCAGTCAGAGAACATGCAGATAATGTGAAAATGTCTTCAAAGATCTGAAATGCAATTATACTGCAGACATACATAATTTCGGGGGTGAGAAGTAATTTGTCCAGTGAGAAAATATCTATAAAATTGTTTACCATAAAGCACAAGTCAATGAAAGTTTCCTATAGAAAAAATTCTAACACAATATTTAGGGGTTTTCAACATTTTCTAAAATTTCCATCACTCCACCAAAAATAATTTTTATGACAGCAAGAAGAAATTATATCACAATATGTACTCATTTTAAGAAAAGAAATAGGAGCTGGCACAGGAGTGAAAGAAAACAAAAAAACCTCACTTTCAGCTCACAGATTCCCAACCTTTTATTTTATAATCAATTAAGACAATTTGATCTTAGTGAAAAATAAGCAAAAATCTAAGAAATAAGAGACCATGCCCACTTGCGCTGTTCATCCATCTTTGAAGGATACAATAAAGTTGAATAAATGGTTATGCCTTTGGTTATGTATTTCACATAATTAGAGATACACACATTGTAAGTTAGTTTTTGCCCATTAGCCTGTAATTCCTCCCTTTCTTCCTTTAAAAAAAAGATGCTTATATTTTATTAGACTACAAACTTCCTGAGAGCAGAGATGATGCTCTCTTATCTCCCACGCATAACACTCAATAAATGTTTGTTAAATGAATAAAAGAATGTAACGTTAAAATGCGCATTTTGGCTGACTCCATTTCATTCACAGTTTTTTAACAAAAGGAAAACAACGAACAAAAGGTGTGTTTTTTATACAGAACTTATTTTTCCCTGTAAAAATAATGTATCCCAAATTCGACTCACTGAAGAACCATCTAAAAATTTTATTATTTAAAAAGATGTAGTGTTAATACTTGAATAATATTTCTGGAAGAAATTCTCCCTATAGGTTCACTAAGAAGAGCTCTCCTCCTCTGGATACTCAAAGCATCCATTGTTGCCAGCCTGTTAGTGGCACTTCTAAAGTAACAGCATATGATCTTGTTGAGTATTCATTTTCCATGTTAAAAGGTTTCCTCCATTACGTCAAGCATGTGCTGTCTAAGGGCAGGGAAAATGACTATTCCTCTTTATATCTCCAGAAGTACTGAGAACACTGTCTTGATAAACTTAGCAACATAGATAAAGCTCAGGCTTTGGTCCCAAAGATAACTGGGTTTGGATTCTGGATCTGCCACTAACTATGTGTTACTTAAAGTCTCTGAATCTTGGTTTTTTGCCTGAAAAATAGGAATAATAATAGAACATACTTTATAGGCTTTGGGGAAGATTAAATAATGACATCTAACACAGAGCCTGGCATTCAGTAGCTACTCAACAAATGCTGCTCTCCTTCCTACTCCCTCTTACCGTCCCTTTCTCATAACAGGTGCTAATACTGTCAGCTAATGTCTTTCCAACAGAAGACTCATTACTAAAAAATACCAGAAGGGTAAGAAGGTGATAACCTTGAAGATTTACACCCAGAAAAAAGGTTAAAACAAATAAAATTTTGAAATTTGCATTAGCTGTGAAATCTCTAAATATAGTCAATTAACACATTCTAATCATGGTCAGAAATGACATTCGCTAACGACATAGAGCTTCAAAATTTCATGATACAAAACAAAATTCTTTCTACTTCTAAGTAGTTATTGCCTTAGAAGCTAAAAAAAATTAACCATTTTAACCAGTCATCCATCTCTTTGACTCCTGAAATACATGAAATTGTTAGAAATGTAAGAAATTATCATTATTACAGTCTTAAGGAGGCATGCTCCTAAAAAACTGCCCTAATATGTTTGTTTTCTTATCTCTATTCATTTTACTGTGAAGGTTTTTTTAAACTTCAGAAAAAAGCACTTAGACAAACACATACCACTTCAATGACCTTCAACATGTTCAATATGCTTCAATATGTTCTCTCACTTCTCAAATATTGCCTGTGTATATGCAGGTAGTTTATATGATTTTACATCTGGTTTTTAGAAGGGAAGCCAGACAAGATAAGAAAACCAGACAAGGGAATACACATACAAACAGCAATAAGATTCTGAGTTGTAAATTTAATTTAATAAAGAATAAAAGCATGTGCTGCGATAATTTTTAAATTGCTTTCTTTTTCCAATCCTAATCCTTGGTCTTGAGTATCTGCAGCATTGTCTCTAACATTCTGGTTATAACTTTGAAGAAACTAATTATGTCAATCCTTAAATTTGAAGTAGATTACAGAACTGGGGAACCCAGAATATTAGTTCCTAAAGGTTGTATGGATATATAATGACAGTTACAGAAATTCAATAACAGCCCTCTATGAAATGTACTCAAAAGCACCACATGAAACAAATTAA